CTCAAATTTAGATCCCTCTGCTTGAACAAATGCTGCAAACTGCGATGATCAGTGTAAACTTCGCAAGACACCCCATAAAGATAATGCCTCCAAATCTTAAGAGCGTGAACAATCGCAGCTAACTCCAAATCATGTACTGGATAATTCTTTTCGTAGGGCTTCAGCTAACGTGAAGCATATGAAATAACTTGCCCTTCCTGCATCAATACACAACCCAAGCCAACGTGCAAAGCGTCACAATATACTGTATACATCCCCAAACTGGAAGGCAACACTAACACTGGTGCTGTAGTCAATGATGTCTTGAGCTTCTGAAAGCTCACCTCACAATCATAGGACCATCGGAATGGAGCACCCTTTTGGGTTAATTTGGTCAAAGGTGCTACAATAGATGAAAAACCTTCCACGAACTGACGATAATAACCTGCCAAACCCAGAAAACTCCTGATCTCCGTCACCGAAGTGGGACGATGCCAATTCTGAACTGCCTCAATCTTTTTGGGATCAACTTTAATACCTTCGCCCGATACGATATGTCCCAAAAATGCTACAGACTCTAGCCAAAACTCACATTTAGAGAACTTAGCATATAGCTTTTGTTCCCGCAATGTCTGAAGCACTACTCTCATATGCTGCTCATGCTCCTCCTTACTACGTGAGTAGATCAAAATGTCATCAATGAAGACAATGACAAATGAGTCAATATATGGCCTGAATACCCTGTTCATCAGATCCATAAATGTTGCCGGGGCATTAGTTAAACCAAAAGACATTACCAGAAACTCATAATGACCATATCTAGTACGGAAAGCAGTCTTCGGAACATCCGAATCCCGAATCTTCAACTGATGGTACCCCGACCTCAAGTCGATCTTAGAGAATACCCTAGCACCCTGCAACTGGTCAAATAGATCATCAATACGCGGCAACGGGTACTTGTTCTTAATAGTGACTTTGTTCAATTGGCGATAATCAATACACATCCGCATTGTTCCATCCTTCTTTTTCACAAATAATACTGGTGCACCCCAAGGCGATACACTCGGTCTGACAAACCCTTTGGCTAGTAACTCTTCAAGCTGTTCTTTCAATTCTTTCAATTCTTTCGGAGCCATGCGATACGGTGGGATAGATATAGGCTGGGTATCTGAAGCCAAGTCAATACAGAAATCAATATCACGATCAGGTGGCATACCTGGAAGATCTGACGGAAATACATCGGGGAACTCCCGAACTACAGGCACTGAATCAATAGCAGGAATCTCTGCAGTAGTATCCCGAACATAGGCTAGATAAGCTAAACAACCCTTCTCAACCATGTGTTGAGCCTTTATAAAAGAAATAACTTGATTAAATGAACTAACAGGCGAACCCTTTCACTCAAGCTTAGGCAATGCTGGAATAGCCAAGGTAACAGCCTTGGCATGACAATCAAGAATAGCATGATATGGAGATAACCAGTCCATGCCCAAAATAATTTCAAAATCGGTCATCACAGTTACTTACCTCAAACTGTGTAAATCCCTACTCCAACAAGCCATTGCCTCGCGAAATAGCCTCTGAATTCCTCGAATCTAGCCACAAACAGTACGATACAATCATTACGAGTTGAAGGAATCAATTCCATAAGAAAATACCAAGTTCTAAATCAAAAGTCAAAAGTAAACTCAAAGTTGGCCCCCCAGGCTCACATCTCGGAATCCGATAAAAGTCACAAAATCTGGAAGCCCATTCAACCATGAGTCCAACCATACCAAATTTACCAAAATCCGACACAAAATCATCACTCAAATCCCCATATTAAACTCTCCAAATCCATAACCTCAAACTCCCAAATTCCACCTTAAAAGCATACAAACTAGGTGGGAAATCCATTGGGGAAACAAGATTATCAAATAAAAATGAGCACAAGTGACTTACCTCAAGAAACCCCTCAAAAATCCTCTTAAATATCTCCCAATCCCGAGCTTGAAATGTTCAAAATGAAGAAAAATTGCGAACCCTAGAATGAATATGCACTGCCAGTGGCTCCGCTTCTGAGGTTCATTTAGCCGCTCTTAGCGACACCGCTTTTGCAGTCAGGGGTCCGCACCTACGAACTTACACTCAACCCCGACCTACTGCTTCTGCGGCCAAGGTCTCGCACCTGCGACCCTGCGTTCGCTTCTGCGCGCCTAGAGCCAAGTTCCAAATTCTGCACCTGCGACCACAATTTCGCTTCTGCGGACTCGCAAGTGCGCTCCTACTTCCGCACCTGCGATACACCTAAGGCCAGACCAAATCTCGCTTCTGTTCCACTCCAGCCGCACCTGCAGCCAAGACCCTCGCAGGTGCGATCACCCCATAAGGCTCCCATGCACTAAGTCTCATTTTCGATCCGTTAACCATCCGAATTATATCCGAGGCCCCCGGGACCTCAACCAAATATACCAACAAGTCCTAAAATACAATATGAACTTAGTCGAGCCCTCAAATCACTCAAACAACATAAAAACATGAATCACACCCCAATTCAAGCCTAATGAAACTAAGAAAATTCCAACTTCTAGAAACGATGCCGAAACCTATCAAATCACGCCAGATTGGCCTCAAAATTTGCACACAAGTCACAAATGATACCACAAACCTATTCCAACTCCCAGAATGCCAATTCGAGCCCAGTAACCACAAAGTCCACTCTCAGTCAAACTTCTAAATTTTTAACATTCATCATTTCAAGACAATTTCAACTACGGAACTCCAAATCACAATACGAACACACTCCTAAGTCCAAAATCACCCAACGAAGCTAACAGAACCATCAAAAATCCATTCCGGAGTTGTTTATACATAAGTCAACATCCGGTCAACCATTTCAACTTAAGCATTCAACCTTGAGAATAAGTGTCTCAACTTATCCCGAAACCTCTCTGGACCCGAACCAACTACCTCGGCAAGTCGCATAACAAATGTAAAGCATAAAATGAGCATTAAATGGGGGAACATGGCTACAACTCTCAAAACGACCGACCGGGTCGTTACACTTGCCTTATAACCCTATTATTTTTGAATGTAGGTCCTTGATGGCCAGTTAAGGAATCCAGTCATCAGCCATAGTTTCAGAGAGCAGAGCCAGGTGGAAGATCTCCTAGCTAAGAAAGGAGCTAAATGAAACTTTTTGACTGGACTTGAATTTTGGTAGTTACTCCAGTGTTTGCCAACGATGCTTTGTGGTCATACATCCTAGGAACTACATTTAATAGAAAAGCTTTGGGTTGTAATATCATTAACACTCTTCCAAACAATGATGTCTACCTAGACGACCCCATGAACATGCAAACACTGTAATTATTATTTTGTTTATGTAGTATCTAGTTTACCAAAAAAAAGGATGGGAGGGTCCCATTAGTAGTATATTTTTGATACATTTGTTTCAAACTATGTAACATAACTTTAAGTACTACAAAAATTCAACATAACTTTTAGTTTCATATATATTTATGCACTCGTACATATTACTAATTCGACTTTAGTTTGTATATACTAAGCCTTTGTTGACAAAAAAAAAGGAACTCAATAACAATCAAATTCGGGTGGACTTTTTTTGTTGATTAAATAAGTGATATATCATTAACAAGCACCAAGAAGATGCAAAGATTACAAAAGAGATAAATTCTCAGCTCAATAAAAGACAAAAATCTATCACAGAACTAGCGAGCTGATGAATTTAAGGAAAGTATCAATACTAAATATAGGAGTGTGGTTAACCCAACTAAAAATATTAACCAAACATCTAGCCTTGAGAGTATGGGTGGGAGTTTAGATGCCATGAAGACATCGTTGGTTCCTTTCTATCCATATGCACCACAAAATGTAAGCAAGAACAATTGCCCAGATCCTTATGATGGATTTCCCAACTTTCCAGGAGCACCAGCTCTCAAAGACCTCTCTGATATTGCCTGACATAGGCCATTGCATCCCAAAAAGTGACAAAAACATATTCCAAATGCGATTGCAACTAGTCACTAAAGTAATAAGTGGTTGATAGATTCTGCATTGCTATGGCACATGTGACATCTGTTGGCTAGCTGAAAGCTCCTCATGATTAGGTTATCCTATGTTAAACAAGCACCATTTAGGGTGATCCAGCTACATCATATGACTTTTGGCAGTAGTTTGGTTTTCCAGACTAGCTTTCAAGGCCATTGGTCAATCAGGTCCTTGTTTGAGCTCAATAGAAGATAACCTTCCTTGACTAAGTAAGCACCTTCCCTGCTATTGCCCCATTTGAGCTTGTCCCCGATTTAATTTAAAATTAGGATGTCCTGGATATTAGCAATGAGTGAAAAGTACTCTTCCAGCTCCCAATCATTTAGGTTTCTTCTTAGAATCAGGTTCCAAGAGTTGTCCTCCTTGTTTTGGGCTATAGTGGAGTCTGGATTACTTGCAATCATAAATAGTCTAGGGTAGGACTCTTTTAGAAAAGTGGTTCCCAGCCATTTGTCCCTCCAAAATTGTATGTGTGCCCCATCCCAACTTGTAAGGAAGTGTTCTGGGAGAATTCTTCCCATAAGTTCCTGATTCCTTTCCATAACCTTGTTCCACGAGGTGATCTGGTGAACTTAACCTATTATTTTCTGTTTCCCCCTTAACATCGAACTATCTAATAAATTTGATTTGATTTTGGTTCAACCATTTAAAAAGTTAACTTAATTTTTTCTTAAATAAAAACTAGCCTAAATTTTGCTATACTTTTTAGTATTGAAAAGCGAATAAAGTGGATATACAATATAAAGGAAATAAATTAAAAAAATAAAAAGAATAAAAAAGGAACAAGTAAATTTTATTTCTGCAACCAAACCAGATAGTTCCAACAAACTATGGCTTACGTCGAGAGAGGTTTGGTAAAATCCAAGCGTTCTATATGGCGATTGAAGACTATCACTGATTTCTTTTGGTCCATCATCAACTTCATTAGCGTGTTTTTTGCAACTATGTTTTCGATGGAAAAAACAGATGTCTATAGAAAAGGTTCAAGATCCAGCAAGAAGTAGGATGGGCGCGATCTTGGAGGTCCTGGAAGTGGTCCATATAGTGGTGGTCCACGTGGGCCACCTCATGGATTGGATAATATCCGAGGCATTGACCACATCTCTCTTCCTGTCTATGGTTCTTGTTGCGGATAAATGATGCCACTTTTGAGAATCCATGGCTTGGGATCTTATTCCATAAACACATACGTAATAGTTAAATGTATGTAGGTTTCTGCACTTATGCTTACATTTAAACTTGGAAGTGTATTCATATGTTCTGTTCAACCTAAAACTTTAACAAAAGTCAGATAGTTTTCTCCTATTTTTCTAGTTAATGCCTAATAGTGACGCTGTAAGAAGCACATGGATAGAAAAAGAAAGACTGATTCACATTGGCTTAAAAAAATGCATGTATTCTCTCTCGGCGCACGTTTACTAACTTGCATCGGCCAAGGGGAAGAGAGCACGCATGCCATTGCAAAAAGCTCTCTAATATCAAGCTATAGCTATACAAGGACAAGGGCAGAAGAACAAGGCAGCTATAGCAATTCACGAAGAGATTCGAATTGGATCGAAAATTAATGAAATAGTAACTCGTCAAAAAGAGAGTGCACAGATGTCCCAAGAGCAAGCTCAGAAATTGTGGAATAACGTCATACAAGCTTCAACAAGTGCTAGTAGTCAAACTCCAACAAGCAGTGGGAGGAAATTATGGGAAGATATGGTGGATGAAGAGGAAAGAGTAGACCTAGTGAGGAAGCCATCGATTTGGGAAAATTTTGATACCTCAAAGGTATCAAATGCTGGATTCAAATTGGAGTACGTTGCTCCTTCCTTGTATGGTGAGTCGCCCATCATTGACATTGAATTGGAGGATATTAGATCTGAAATTGAGTATTGGAAGATGACAATGGTGTTTTATGTTTTAGGTGCACACCCACCGTTTGATGTGTTATAGGGGTTTATGTAACGACCCGACCGATTGTTTCGTGAGTTATAACCCTGTTTCTCCCATTTTTGCTTCTTTATGTGTTATTTAGCTGTAGTGTGTTGTATCGAGTTGGTTAGTTCGGGTCTGGAGTAGTTTCGGAGTGGAATGAGACACTTAGTCTCTAAATTAGAAGCTTAAGTTGGAAAAAAGTCAATTGGATGTTGACTTATGTGTAAATAATCTCGAAATTTGATTCTGATAGTTCCATTAGCTTCATTAGGTGATTTTGGACTTAGGAGTACGTCCAGAATGTGATTTGGAGGTCCGTAGTGGAATTAGGCTTGAATTGGCGAAAGTTTATTTGGCAATTTTGGTCAGAAGTGGAAAATTTGATATCGGGGTCGGAATAGAATTCCGAAAGTTCGAGTATTTTTGTAGTGTCATTTGTGACGTGTGTGCAAAATTTGAGGTCATTCGGATGTGGTTTGGTTGGTTTCGGCATCGGTTGTCAAATTTGGAAGTTTAGAAGTTCTTAGACTTGAATCCGAGGGTAATTTGGGGTTTTGAAGTTGTTTCGAGTGATTTTACGATTTGTCTAAGTTTGTATGATGTTGTGGGTTATGTTGGTATTTTTGGTTGAGGTCCCGAGGGCCTCGGGTGTATTTCGGATGGCCGACGAATTGGTTTTTGGTGTTTGAGGGCTGCTGGTGTGAATTCTGCTGGTGTTTCCGCACCTGCGGAAGGGGAGCCGCAAGTGTGAGGCCGTAGGTGCGCTTGGGAAGTCACAGGTGCGGGCAGTGCTAGGCTAGGAAGGATGCGCATATGAGAGAAGGCTATCGCATCTGCGAGCCCGCAGGTGCAAGACCTGGGGCGCAGATGCGGGAGGGAGGAAAATGACTAGCTTCGCAGATGCGGAGTGTTACGCACAGGTGCGCAAGCACAGGTGCGAAAGGTTGGATGCAGGTGCGAAAGGTTGGATCCTAAGTGAGTTCCGCACCTACGATGGAAATTCCGCAGGTGCAGCATCGCAGAAGCGGAAAAAGGGGCTGCAAGTGCGATATTGCTAGGCAGAAAGCTCCAACTCGAGGTTTTCTCTTTCATTTTCAATTTCGGACTTGAGAAACTCAGGAGAGAGATGATTGTTCGAAGGTTTTCAAGGAGAAACGTTGGGGTAAGTGATTCTAACCCATAATGGTATAAATTTCGTGAATCTATGGCTTTGTTCATCATTAATTAGTAGGATTGTTGAAGTAAAATGAGGGCTTAGGGCTTGAAATTTTTTTGGAGAGTTTAATTTAAGGATTTGAGGGACCAAATAATGTCGGATTTTAATATATTTTGTATGTATGGACTCGTGAGTGAATGGGCTTTCCAGTTTTGTAAATTTTGTCGGATTTCGAGAAGTGGGCCCGGGGGCCGTGTTTGAGCCGATTTCGGAATTTTTGTCTAATTTGATGGGTTTTCTTATGAAATTCATTCCATTACCGTATATTGATGGTATTGTATTGATTGTTAATAGATTCGGAGTATTTGGAGGCTGAGTCGAGAGGTAAGAGCATCGCGGGGTAGAGATTTGACCTTTTTGAGGTAAGTAACGATTGTAAATCTAGTCCTAAGGGTATGAAACCCCAGATTTCGTATCATTTTACTATTTTGAGGCAACGCACATGCTAGGTGACGGGCGTGTGGGCGTGCACCGTTGGGGATTGTGACTTGGTTCGTCCTGTATCAACTGTAAAGTTGAATATTTTGTTGAAACTATATGATTCTTATGTGTTTTAGAAAGAATTTCTATGAATCGGGCTGGATGCCAATGTTTAGGCCTTATGCCAGTGTTGTTTGGACCCTTAGAAGTCTTTTCTTGCTATCCTCTCATTATTTTTGATTAAAAATCTATACTCAATCATATTTATACATATTTACAGCATAACTCAGTCTCTATTACTCTATTTTGATGCATCATATAAATGTTGTTTGGGCTGAATACTTTGTTTTCTGAGAGCCCAAGAGGCTAGAGAGGTTTATGATTGAGTGAGGCCGAGGGCCTAATTTGTGAGGATATTTATGGGATCGGGTTGCACGTCGCAGCATGTTTGATATAGGACGAGGGCCTCAATTGATTTATGCCATGATTGGCTTGATATATAGCGCTTGGGTTGAAGAAGCCCTTCCGAAGTCAGTGCACACCTCCAGTGAGTATAGGTACCTACTGAGTGCGAGTGCCGAGTGTTGAGTAACTGGGAGTGATGGTGAGGTCTACCCGAGAGGCTGTATACGAGTGTGATTGTGAGGTTTTCCTGAGGGGTTGTATATGAGTGTTGTTGCCCGAAGGGCTGATTATGATTTGATTATTTTTGCTCACCTTTGCATTGAGCCTTTGTTTGAAAACTGTTGAAAGATGTCTTTAAATGATATTACTGGAACTGGATTTAAAAGAGCTGATTTGATGCAAACTTTGGTTTTAAAAGCATGCTGTATTTTACTGAATTTTTGTGATATGAACTTTACTTGTATTATTACTTGTCACTACTTCTCAGTCTTTATTTACTATTGTTACTTACTGAGTTGGCGTACTCACGTTACTCCCCGCACCTTATGTGCAGATCCAGGCGTATCTGGATACGATAGCGATTGTTGATTATTCCAGTTGCAGATCTTCTCGGGGATAGCAAGGTAGCTGCCTGATGATCGCATCCCTGCTCTTCTCCTTCTTATCTTCCTTTAGTTGTATTTAGCTATTTTCCGGACTTCATTAGTCTCGATATTGTCAGATAAATTGTAGTAGATGCTCATGACTAGTGACACCTCGATGTCGGGCTTTTCTTTTCCGCACTTTTATTTTGATTTGAACTCCTTTACAAAGGTTTTTATGTTGAATAGCCTTGAAATTATCTTTTAAATGAAAATATCGGTTTGTTTTAAAAATGAGTCGGCTTGCCTAGTTCCACGATAGGCGCCATCACGACACGGTTAGTTTGGGTCGTGATAAGTTGGTATCAGTGCCTAGGTTACATAGGTCTCACGAGTCATGAACGGGTTTAGTAGAGTCTTGCGGATCGTTACGGAGATGTCTCTACTTATCTTCGAGAGGCTGCAGAACCTTTAGGAAATTTCACATTCATGGATTCTTGTCGTGCGAATCTGTCTATTCTGGTAACTAAACTTTTGTTATTTCATTCTCTCACAGATGGTGAGGACTCGTACTACCGGTCTGGATGGACAGCCACTAGTACCACCAGCCAGGGCTGCAAGAGGACGAGGTCGCGGTAGAGGCTACGGTAGGGATAGAGGTGCAGCCCGCACAACAGTTGGGGCAGTACCTGCAGATCCACTAGTTGCCCCAGATCAGGATCAGATTCTAGTTATTGATGCACCAGGTCAGGCACCGTCTGTGCCTATTGTGATTCTAGGCCTTCAGGAGGCCCTAGCTCAGATTCTTACAGCATGTACCGGCCTTGCTCAGGCGGTCTCTATCTCGACGGCCGCAACCACTTCTCAGGCCGGGGGAGGCACTCAGACTCCCGCCGCTCACATAGCCGAGCAGGTTGTTTAGGGACTCCAGACACCGGGGGCACCACCAGCCCAGCCGGTTGCAGATGCTCAGGAGTATGAGGTTCTTTCTATTCCTAAGGATGATCAGCATAGGTTGGAGAGGTTTGGGAGACTTCAGCCACCACTTTTCAGTGGCACAGAGAGAGAGGATGCTCAGGACTTTTTGGAAAGGTGTTAGAGGATACTCCGTACAACTGGTATTCTAGAGACTTGTGGGGTCTCATTTAATACTTTTCAGTTTTATGGGGCTGCACTCAGATGGTGGGAGACTTACGAGAGGCGTAGGCCTATTGGCGCAGCACCCCTTACTTGGCAGCAGTTCTCCATGGTCTTTTTGGAGAAGTTCGTGCCTCAGTCCCGGAGAGAGGAGTTGCGCAAACAGTTTGAGTAGCTTCGCCAGGGTGATATGTCTATGACACAGTATGAGATGCGATTCTCCGAGTTGACCCGTCATGCGATCTAGTTAGTTCGCAGAGACCGAGAGAGGATCAGGTGGTTTATAGATGGCCTCGGTTTTCAGCTTCAATTGATTATGACC